AAAAAAAAAAAAACAACAACATAGATTAACTCTGTCATCTTAGAGGATACAGCAAGACTGCTGGCAGTCTTAGTATTTCATTTCTGTTGACAGAAATAATGGAACTGATTTTTAAACTGTTTTAAGATTACCCGAGGCACTCCCACCTAACCAGGAACACACTGCATCTGCTGGCTCAGGACACACACAAGGAAGTGAGTCCAGATCGGGTAACTTGAGTGACTAAACCAACTGCAATTTCCAATTAGATTCATGTAATGTTTTCTTTCCATGGAAGAGAAATTTGCTCTTGAAAAAAGCAAAAGAGTTTAATTTATCCTTTCTGTTAAAATCAACCTTTATTTTCTATGCCATTAAAAAGGTGACATAACATGCATTATCTCAGAGACATAAGGAAGTGAAAACATCATGCACACAGTGAAAAATTCCACATACCCCCAATCTCCCCCCAGTCCCCAAAGAAGTGAGGATACAGATGTAACAGTGAATAAATACATTTGATTTTTGTATCCTTTAAAGAACGTCTGTCTGAAGTTAATATCATTAGGAACTCTTAAAGAGTTTGGGGGCTTAAAAAAGATCGTTTTCACCATTCAACACAACAAATGTCTATATATGCAGCCAACTGAAAATGGCCATGAAAATTAAATAGAATCATAGTAATTTCATAGATCAGTGTGACAGACATTTCTACTATTTCTTAATTAAATTTACCTGACCAGTTGCTTTTTAGGGTCTAGTATGTTCAGTAACTTGTCTGCATACACCTTCTTAGAAGCAGTAAAAAGAATGATCTATAAATTCAGGGGAAAAGAAGTAATCATTATACATGATCTAAATATGGGTACTATATTGAATAAAATAAAAATACTTATGTAATTAGCTTAAGCATGTTTACCTCATACATCTGAGACATTCGCTCCAGGAATTCCCTGAAGAATGGTCTTAATCTCACGTAAACCTAAAGAAATAACAAAAATAAGCTTCAGTAAATAAACCTATAAAATAGAAACAACTTATTTATAAGATATGTTGTGTTCTAACTTTGGGTATAATTTAAAAGTTCATATTTTAAAGTAATAGTAAAGTATACTAAGTACCATTCAGCCAAATATATTTCACATACCAAATACCACTTAAAACAATCTTTTGGTAGGGTAACAATAATTATTGGTGATGTCACTTCTTAATAGTTAAATTGCAGCATACAATATGATAGTACTTTGTGGAATATAATTTTAATAAACATTTCAACTAAAAATGAAAGGTTTCCCTTTGAGATTTTGATCCACCAATCTGCTCCATCTTCCAGCCAGGTAGCATCCATCCAATTATTAGGCAGGCTGTGTGTCCACCTCTAGCTGACCTGTCTCAATGACCTTCCTCTATACTCAGAATTTCTTCTCAACAATCACCTGCTAAGAATACCTTTATTTTAAATCTCTATTAGGTAAATAATGTTCAAGAAAGAGATGTCTGGATTGGTGGGTTTTACATAACTGGAATTTTTCAGAATTCAATCTTGTTCTACATTTACTGATTCAGATGTGGCATCTAAATTAGCACTACTGGGTTACTTGAGATTGAAAATATAATAAGGCACACCAGTTATCAAAACCGACTGGCAATATCAGGATAAACTACAGTACCCAAAGAACTGCCTTATATACGTTATTTCCTTATTTCTGTGTCTATCTTCTTGCCTACATTTAATGTAGCTCTTACTCCAATTTTCAAAAAGCACAGAATTATAAGCCATGAGCAACTACTAAAACTGACATACAAAAGATTTTAAATTGTTTTCATTTTGTGACAAAAACTTTATAAAAAGAAAACTTTATACTCAAAGGTGATTATTACCTCCAAACACCACGAACAACAAATATATATAGAACACCTATGCACCAGATTCACTGGATTAAGATTAAAAACAAACAACAACAAAACAAAACACTAGTGGCAAAAAACTCAAAATCTAGGCTTCATGAAATTTAATTCTGTCATAAACACACATCCACACAAAAAATGCCCTCATGATAAAAATCCAGTTCTGGGAATGTTTCAGGGCAGAAAAAGGAAATCGTGCAAAGGATGCTAGGAGGTAGCGACCATGTACTACCAATCTTTATAGTTTCCAAAGCCCAAAAGGCATAAGACAATACTAAATATATACTAAGCGCTTGAGAAAAAAAAAATACATTGAGTAATGAAATCAAAGCCAAGCAATATAAACAAAACAAATAAAGAAAAGCAAGCATATATGACTATATAAGGAAAACTATAGAGTTTCCTTAAAAACTGATCATTTGTAGAAGACAAATTGTGAGTGATAATAATATCATTCTACCCCTACCTCCAGGCTAGAATGATAAAGTTTACTTCTTTTTAATCCTATTAGGCATTTTATCTCAATTTCTTGGCTAATCAAAAACAAAGTAAGCCATATACCCCTACCACTAAGTCAAATAAAAATAAATCCTCAGTGTCCAATCCGATCATTTAAAATGAGGCCCAAGAAATTTAACTAGAGCTGCTCTTCTAACTAATTTTGACATTTTCATCTTAAAAACATTTGGTATGCCCTGTAACCAACCCATGTAACTGATGGATTGCCTTAAATAGAAATACCATTTTTTATTAACTATGGGTCTTTTCAAAATAGATTTGTGATGATTAAGAAAACAATCAATTTAGTCAATACTTCTTTTCCGATTACCTCATCTCAAGGAGGATGATAAACTATGAACCGTCAGAGCCTTTTGTTTGTTGCTAAGAAAGCTTACCGTTTACATACATTTAATTAAACAATGTTATTTTTGCATTTATGTAAATGATTTCATTTGGTCTCAATATCCCTGTTATCACTTGCTCCACACTATAAGCTAAGGAAGGCCTCTGTACTTTGGGATTTGCTTCCTCTGAACCCTAACACACTTCCATTTCAGAGGAATACTTCTATGTAAACGGTATTATCCAAGCATAGTAAGTGGAACACTATACAAAGGTGACATTTCCAACTTCTTATACATGACTTCCATATTAAATCAAAACTGTAACTTCATTATACATTGTACTTACTACTTTGACCATTCTTAATATAAAAATATATCTTAAAACGACATTACTTTCAAAATGTACTTGTTTACAGAGGATGAAAAAAAGGTAGTACTGAAGATGGGGGAATATATTGCTAATTTCCTTACCATAAGAATAGAGTAATTGTTGGCTGTAAAAGTTCCTATCCCCAAAACAGATTCACTATTTGAACAGGAAGGTCATTCAGGATTAAAATATATACACAGAAATTAATGTGGTTAGTGGGAAAGAGAATATAGAAAGGTACAAAATAACAGTGAGCAGAGGTGGAGGTTCTGCTATGTGCTACAAAGGTAAAATCTCAGAAAGAAAAATAGAAATGGAGACACAAGGCCAGCATGGTCTAAGTCATTTGGATGGATATATTAAAGCATAAATATATAAAAGTCAAACACTAAGTACTGTCTAGTAGGAAACAGAACAATTGTTAAGGTATATATAATACGAAGAGACTATGATCACTTATTATGTTAGGTCACAGAGATATAGAAATGTACAAATGCACAGAGGCATGCCTCCAAAATGCTTCAAAATCTATTCCACAGATGCTTATAATTATATTTTTCTTCTCCTTTCTCATAACAAAGATTCTTGTCCTGAGCTGCCTATTTCCCTTTTTCCACATTCTTTCCCTACTTAGTATTTCACCAACAACCATCCTTCTTCAAACCTGTAACTTTTCAAAATCATGTAGTCTCCCAAACGTAAGATTAGGCTAAAAGTTTCACTTCAGTCTGGTATACATATGTCCCTCCAAATATACAGCAATTATTCTATCTACCCTACAAATAGTTTTAATCAATCACTAAACAATATGCATTTTTAAAAAGTCAAAACTTTAAAAATAATGCAGAATGCTATAAATGCCAGAAATACCTGCAAAACTGTGATAATGGAACTAATCTTATATGATCTTGTAGATTGATTTTACTAAAGTTTAAATTTTATATAGAAAAAGTAATGTGTATAACAAAATATTACATCAAGATTCCTTGAGATGAACAAATACCTGATGGCCTGTACTTTCTTTAGTGTTAAGACAATGAGAATGTCCTGTAATTGTGTATGTAGATAATCCTACCAGGCCATAATGGTTAATAAAACTGAATTTAATAAAAGCAGTCACCAAAATAGCAATCTAGTTATAAAATGATTATAAATATTTTGTGGTAGTCTGTCCAAATTCAAATTCATGACTAAATATTCAATGTCAAGCTATATATACTGAATAATCTCTATTTGTTTACCAAACCTTATCTAATTTCATAGGTAATTTCACTTTTTAAAGAAATTTCATATATAACTTTAACAACATGAATGAAGCAGCAGAAGCAGGAGAAGAAAAAGGAGGAGAACAAGGAGGAGGAGGAGGAGGAGGAGGAGGAGGAAGAGAAAACCCCCAAAGCAGCTTCACTTTGTGGGCAACTGAATAAGGAAGAAACAAAAACAAAAAACTCTTACATGTAAATCTTTTAAGAAAAAGTATTTCTAAATAGTTTTCAGCACAGATAATATAACCTTAACATATTCAAAAAGAAACATCTTTTAATAGTTATTCCATGGTATCTTTTGAATTTATTGCTATACTGATACAGGTTTATTTTTATTAAAAAAATTTTTTTAAGTAATCTCTATGCCCATCATGGAGCTCAAACTCATGACCCCAAGATCAAGAGTCACATGCTCTACTGACTGAGGCAGCCAGGAGCCACATATTGATATAGGTTCAAAAAAACCCCATAAAAACAGTCAATTCTGTGGGACTCCTCCACTTAAGAGTATGGCACCCTTTAAATAAAAAGATGATTGGTAAATGCTATTTACTTAATCAGCAGTAAGACTTTTTTTTTTTTAATTTTGAGAGACAGAGAGAGAGAGAGAGTGCCCACGTGCATGTGGGGGTGGGGCAGCAAGAGAGGGAGGGAGAGAGAATCCTAAGCAGGCACTGCACTACCAGCACAGAGCCTGATGCGGGGCTCAAATTCACTAACCACGAGATCATGGCCTGAGCCAAAATCAGACGCTTAATTGACTGAGCCACACAGGCGCCCAAGTAAGACTTTAAGGCAGTAGAAAACCAATAATCCTGGGGAATGTGAAGAATGAGATGCTACATATAACTGAAAAATCTTACCATGAGTAGATAGATACCACAGGTATAACAAGTGACTGTCAATTTGTTAACCCTTCTGTGCACCTCAGTCTCCTCATACATAAAATGAGTAAAATAAGAGTACCTACCTCATAGGGTTGTTGTGAAGATTAAGTTAATACATGTAAAGCACCTAGAACAGTGCCTGGCACACGGAGAATGCCAACGACTATTACTTATCCACCTTATTATTAACCAGTCATAAGGAGAATAGCTGGAATGAGTATGATTCTATGGGACAGAACTGGGCAACCTAACTGAAAAAGAAAGCCCTACAGCTGCAATCTACACTTTTAGAAGAGAGAAAATAATCAGGAGTTCGATCAGTTGATAGCTTCGCTATTTAACTTAGTTAACACTTTCTTAGCATCAATACTAGAGCACAGAGACAAAACCCAAATCCTCTTCATAGAAAGAGGGTTGCTCAGGTAGGCCCTGCAGAGACCTCAACCTTATAACCCCTGGGTGACATTACAGTCATCCTTTGTTTAACACAATTCCAACAAGAGGTAGATGGCTGCTGGGGATAGTATTTGTAGGCAGATCATCTGAAAATGAATAGGTAAATACTAAAACATCAAAATAAAAAATAATAAAATCAAAAATCCCCACACTAAAAACTTCTGTAAAACATTAAACTAAGTAGAAATAAATCTGAAAAGGAATTTTCCTGTAGAGTCTACATGGGATAAAATGAAACTTAAGGTATCCAT